GATGGTGAGGAACTGTGGAGATAATGGTGAGAAATGATAATGATAACAAAATAATTATGATGATAGTGATAATAATAACGACATAAATAGTAAAACAACAACAATAACAACAACTCCACATATACATAAACAATAACACCAACTAGTGAAACAAACAAACAGGTTATAATCTCACCATTCAGGATATGCACCAGGATAGAGGCAGGCTTGGTGTTGGATGGTGCACAGGTATAATTGCCGGAATGGTGTCTATTGGCGCTGGTCACCATTAACACACTAGTATGGTCATCACTCTCCACCACCACACTCTGTCAGGAGGATATAATAACATGTTAAAGTAATCTGTAATTCCTGTTATCTTAAAATTAGCCTAAAACATGATATTATCCCTAAATCCTAAATATTCCCCTGTAACAAGATATTTCCCCCCTCCAAAGATATCCCTCCTGCAATAAAGATTTTTCTCCTACAACAAGATATTTCCCTGCGATAAGATATTTTCTCCTGCAACAAGATATTTCTCCTGCAACAAGATGCAGATTTTCGCAAAGATATTCCCCTGTAATACTACATATAATACTTACCCCGACCCCCTGCAACATAAAAGTATCCCCTCCCGCAACAACATAAATATTCCCTCTGCAACATAGTCAACATCCTGCAATATGACATAATAATAGCTACCCCTTCCCACTGCAATAACATACATTTTCCATCTGCAACATAAGCAACAATAATGCAACAATAGTCACCCCTGCTCCTGCAACATGACATAATAGCTACCTCGTCCCTTGAAACATCATAAATACCCCTGCAACATAAATATTCCCCTCTGCAACATAAATATTCCCTGCAACATGAAATTTGTGGCTAGTTGAATGAGGTGCGCCAAGTCCGTGGACTTATACCTCCTGCAACACCATAAATATTCCCTCTACCATATAAATATTCCCTCTGCAACATAATTATTCCCCTCTGCAACATAAATATTCCTCTGCAACATAATTATTCCCCTCTGCAACATAATTATTCCCCTCTGCAACATAATTATTCCCCTCTGCAACATAAACAACAATACAATAGTCACCCCAGCCGTCTTCGGATTCATAGTTGATCATCTCGTTGCCGCGGTACCAGAAGACGTAGGAGAGCGCCTCTGTAGTGTGATGCATGATGCATACCAGCCGCAGAGTCGACCCCAGCTTAACGTGCTTCTCTGGGGCACCTAAGATCTCTGCCTCAGCCTCTGTTGGTGGGTGGAGATGGGGTGTTGGTGGAGGGATGGTGGATGGTGGGGTAGGATGGGGTGGTGGAGATTGAGGGAGGGTATGGTGGTGTATGATGGGATTGATGGGGAAAGGGTATTTTTTTTAGTTTATATAATTGTGTGTGTGTAATTAGAAACACATACACACACGCACACGCACACACACACACACACACACACACGATAACCCAACCACACTCCCATAGGATTGAAAATGCATTAAATATTACAATATGGTTTCATATATATTCAATTATAAAAATATGAAATGAAAATAAAATCGTTCGGTCATAATATTTTTTTTAAACAAACTTGTATCGTGATGTGTGTGTGTGTGTGTGTGTGTGTGTGTGTGTGTGTGTGTGTGTGTGACTATTATGGTGTAGGGGGTGATTAATGGCGCAGCAGATGAAGGGGGAGATGAAGGTGGTACTCGAACAAGGTTTACACTAAGTCCTTGACACACACCCCCTTGAGTGGCTGCCGGGAGTCTGGTGGTACAGCCTGACTCATCCTTGAAGACCTGGATGGTGTACCTGGCCTGGCTCAAGTGTTAATTTTATCAAGTTACCTGGCCTACTGTAACCTGGCCTGTAACCTGACCACTGTAACGGCTACTGTAACAGTCACTGTAACTTGGCCTGTAACTGGCCTACTGTAACCTGGCCTGTAACCTGGTCACTGTAACCTGACCTACTGCCTAGCCTACTATAACTTGGCCCCTGTAACCTGGTCACTGTAACCTGAAATACTATAACTTAGGCTGAGGGAACTTAACTTACCTTTAATTTCTACTATCCTAACCTGACTTGACCTGACCTCCTCTAATCTAACTTAACTTAATCTGACCTAACCTAATTTACCATAAGCCAAGTATAACCTAACTTGACACTAACCTAACCTAACCTAACCCACATATAACCTCTTACTTCAACAAAACCAACCAGGCGCCGCATCTCCATGACACACACACACACACACACACACACACACACACACACACACACACACACACACACACACACACACCTCCTTCCGTCTCTCTATCGTGAAGGAAGGTGAAAGTCCCCTCAGCCCCCTCCCATGAAGGAAGGTAAGACCCCCTAGGATATAAGAGAGAGTCCTACGTGAAGATCCTCCATTAGTTTCACCCCATTGAGTCTATAATGCACTGAGGGCTAATGGATGATAATGGTAAGGGTTAATAGAGAGATATAATGGTGTTTTTTTTATCTCTTGAGAACGTAATTTACCCGTTTACCGACACCCAGAGGACATGGGTACTGGAGAGTGATGTCAGGGGTGTGTGTGGTGATGTCAGGGGTGTGTGGTGATGTCAGGGGTGTGTGTGGTGATGTCAGGGGTGTGTGGTGATGTCAGGGGTGTGTGGTGATGTCAGGGGTGTGTGGTGATGTCAGGGTGTGTGGTGATGTCAGGGGTGTGGGTGATGTCAGGGTGTGGGGTGATGTCAGGGGTGTGTGGTGATGTCAGGGTGTGTGTGTGGTGATGTCAGGGGCTGAAAGTAGTGATGTCAGGAGAATTGTATGAATCCCTGTATGAAGTGATAAGAACTTTTGAACCACCCTGTATGAAGTGATAAGAACTTTTGAACCACAGTATGAAGTGATAAGAACTTTTGAGACACTCTGTATGAAGTAGTAACTCACCCACGACCTCAAGATGGACGAAGAGTGACGTTGGTGGATGAGATGAGACCTGACACTCGTAGGCTCCCGCGTCCCTCACCTGCACGTAGCGGATGTGAAGCTGCCAGTCCTGTGAGAATACCAGGCAGGTTAGGGAGGGTAGTGGGGTAGGGTTAGGGTAGGGTAGGGTAGGGTTGGGTAGTTATCTTAGGATTAGGTAAGGTTAGGTTAGGTTAAGTTAGGTTAAGGTAGATTAGTTTCAGGGGGGTGGGGTCTGCTGAAGAGGGTGTGATGAGGGTGTGGTGGCTAGGTGGTGTGGGTGTGGCGCCTGAAGAGTGAGTGTGTGTATATGGTGAAGGGTGTGGTGATCAGGTAGAGAGTGTGGTGAAGGGTGTGGTGAAGGTGTGATCGTGTAGTGGTGACCTGAGAGAGTGTGGTGAAGGTGATGGTAGTGTGATGAATGGGTGACAATAATAATAATAATAATAATAATAATAATAATAATAATAATAATAATAATAATAGCATAAAATTAGAATTTGTTGAGGAATAATAATGATAATAATTAGAGTTATACCTACTAGCTATAATTTACTAGCTAACACAGGTATAATTTTTAGAGTTATAATTATACCTCTTGTCATAATGCTTCGTTACATATTCTCAGGAAAATATAACGCTCCTCCTCCTGTGACCTGAAGCATAAGCAGCTTTCGTTCAAATCTTTATTTTTACGTCACATATTGAAAAAGAATGTCTGTCAATATATGTATCCCCCCCCAAAAAAAACCAAGCTCCATAATCTGTACATATTTGTTCAATGGTTTACTATTAAAATTAAACCCCGATTCTCTTTCGGTTTTAAGTCAAGGATAACAGAGTTTTTTTTATATAATTCTTTGATCTGGGAGACGAATATTTTTCCCATTATGAACTAATCCTTATATTTCATTGTACAAGTGTTAGTAAAGGTTCGTTGTGTCTCAAATTGAACACTATGACTCCTATTGTCTCGGTAAGGTTGTCAAAATCCATCGTCCACTGTGTCATATTGTCTAACACGAAATAATACAGGTATGTTTTTGGTCAGGTGTTTTAAATGTAAATATAATCTGCATTTTATACAATTAAATAAAAGTGAGATTACCCACTCCCTCCCTCTCCCTTCCCACCTCCACCCCTCCCTCCCCCTCCCCATCCCATCCCCTGACCCCTACTCTCACCATTGAACTTCTTTGATGTGGAAAAGAATTTGATGCCAATATATATACCATGAAAGAGAAATACCCCCACATATCATTTTACATATATACCCAATCTACATAACACACGAATAACGAGCCAGTCAGTCAGTCAGTCAGTCAGTCGTCAGTCAGTCAGCCAGTCAGTCAACCAGTTAGTCCCACCTTCACTACGTTTTCATTGTTCAAACCAAAAAAAAAAAAGCGAAAAAACACCTTGATACCGACTCTCTTTGGTGTGAATGGAAATTTTATGCTAAACCCTAACAAGGAATTATAACCCTTCTGTGTTATTACAATACGATATAAATTAACAATATAGTCACCCTCTACCCCAGTTTTTATTTTCATTCACCAGAAAATATATAACTCTCCATTTTATTTATTTTAGTGTAACTTCATGGTAATAGGTTTATAATACAAAAAAAATTAGTTCCCATTTTCTATTTTCTGTTTCCATTTCCATCACCCATTTCCTATATTTCCATTTTCCCATTTCCTATTTCCCATTTTATTTCCCATTTCCTATTTCACATTTCCTATTTCCATTTCCCATCACCTATTTCCCATTTCCTATTTCCTATTTCATTTCATTTCCATTTCCCATTTCCCCATCACCATCTCATCCCATTTCTATTAATATCAAAACTCTTCTCCCCATCCCCCGTTTTCATTGCTCATCATCATCATCATCATCATCATCATCATCACCATCACCACCAGCATCATTGTCACCACCATCACCATCATCACCATCACCATAAACACTATCATTACTAAAATAAACATTAATATAACACCATCCTTACACCATAACACACTATAAAATGTTTAGAAATAATAGAGGAAACAAAATATTAATTGATCAGAAGAGGAAGAGGAGGAAGAAGAGGAGGAGAAGGAAGAGGAGGAGGAGGAAGAAGAGGAGGAGAAGGAAGAGGAGGAGGAGGAGGAGGAGGAAGTAGTATTTTGGCGTAGCTTTGTGATCAGAAGAGGAAGAGGAGGAAGAAGAGGAGGAGGAAGAAGAGGAGGAAGATGAAGAGGAAGAGGAGGAGGAAGTAGTATTTTAGGTAGCTTGTATCAAGAGGAAGAGGAGGAAGAAGAGGAGGAGGGATGAAGAGGAAGAGGAGGGAGGAAGAGGAGGAGGAAGTAGTATTTTGGCGTAGCTTTGTGATCAGAAGAGGAAGAGGAGGAAGAAGATGAAGAGGAGGAAGAGGAGGAGGAAGATGAAGAGGAAGAGGAGGAGGAAGAAGAAGTAGTATTTTGGCGAAGCTTTTAGTCTGAGTGCCTGATGCTATGAATTCTGGCCCATGACTTGACCTCGGCAGTAAGCGATGATGTAACTTGGCTCTTATACCCGGTACAGTGTGGTGAGTGGTGTGGTGAGTGGTGTGGTGAGTGTGATGAGTGGGGTGTAGTGTGATGATTACTTGGTGAGTGGGGGTGAGTATGTGGGTTTGTATTATGAGTAAATGATGGGTACATATGAACAAACAGCTACATTTACAGATGAGGAAATGAACCAAATGAGTGCAGTGCCTGGCTACAGTTTCCTCTTTATTTACAGGGGAAAATTACTCAGTCTACAGTATGCTATATCCACACCACCCTTAAATATATGGGAACCAAATTTCAGGGGATTCGAACGTGGGGTCTCATCGAATAGGCTTCCATGGACGATACCGGAGGTTTAATACACTCGGGATTTTTACAAACCTGTCTGAAATAAGAGAGTCGAAGCAGTGTTAATTTACAGGTGTGTCGACAGGTGTGTTGTTTGTATTTTTTTACGCCAACGATGTAGTGGAAATATTTACACGGTTCTTTACGGCTAATTTACACCTAAATGTTATGGGAGTTTCGAACGTGTTGTCGCCTCGATTTTTTTTTAAGGCGTGGTGTGTGTGTGTGTGTGTGTGTGTGTGTGTGTGTGTGTGTGTGTGTGTGTGTGTGTGTGTGTGTGTGTGTGTGTGTGTGTGTGTCATTGGGGAAAGGTTCGTGTTTCGTGGTTCGTGTGTCAGTAATGGGGCGAAGAGGGAAGGTGGGTTCGTGGGTCATTGTGGGTTCGTGGTTCATTGTGGGTTCGTGGTTCATTGTGGGTTCGTGGTTCATTGTGGGTTCGTGGTTCATTGTGGGTTCGTGGTTCATTGTGGGTTCGTGTGTGTGTGTTTCAATGGACCGTGAAATGGGGGAGGAGAGGCCCACACACACACACACACACACCTCCATCTAAGTCCAAGATTTAATTAGTTTAGATAAAGCAGACAGCCAGAGACTCGGGTACACAAGGACCTCACTAAACCATCCTCCAGAAGGCCATGAAGGAGACCAAATAGTTTAACCCACCGTAGTATAAAATCCTCCTCTCTCAATAAACTTAAGTACTTTATAAAACTAATTAACTCCCGACACTAAATATTACAATTAATGCACAAACTTTCCTCGGCTGGCTTAAAAATGGTGTGTGTGTGTGTGTGTGTGTGTGTGTGTGTGCGTGTGTGTGTCTGTGTGTGTGTGAGTATATACATTTCCCTTACTAACTATCCCTCCTTCCATCCTTTTTTCCTCCTTCCCACGCATCTCCCTTCCCACCCCTCCCCCAATCTCTCTCCCTCTCCCCTCCCCATCCTCCTCCCCTACCCCCCCCTCCACCCACTCTCCCTCCCTCCCATCCCTCCCTCCTCACCCCACTCCCACTCTCCTCCTCCCCACCCCTCCCTCCCCATCCTCCTCCCCCTCCCTCTCTCCCAAACTCCACCTCCTCCCCACCTCCCTCCTCTCCCACCCTCCCTCCCCATCTCTCCCTCCCACTCTCCTCCCTCCCATCCCCATTCTCCTTCCCCACCTCCTCCCTTCTCCTCGTCAACTCACCCACGGAAGGAACCTGTCGCTGGAGGTGGAGACCCACTGTCAGGAGCTGGTAGTCTTCATGACACTTGGGAGGAGGGAGGAGGGGAGTGGTGAGGTGGGTGAGGAGGTGAGGAGTAGAGTGGTGGTGGTGGTGGAGAGAGAGAGAGAGAGAGAGAGAGAGAGAGAGAGAGAGGGACGGACAGACAGACAGACAGACAGACAGACAGACAGACAGACAGACAGACAGACAGATAAAAATAAAGACGGGAACAGAATCGAGCCAAAAATAAAAGTGACGCCACAGTAAACACCGAATTTAACAAGCAATTGACGTCAAACTTTTTTATGAGTAACAGTAATGATGGTAATTAACCTTAGTAACAGTAATGATGGTAATTAACCTTAGTAACAGTAATGATGGTAATTAACCTTAGTAACAGTAATGATGGTAATTAACCTTAGTAACAGTAATGATGGTAATTAACCTTAGTAACAGTAATGATGGTAATTAACCTTAGTAACAGTAATGATGGTAATTAACCTTAGTAACAGTAATGATGGTAATTAACCTTTTTATCATATTAATTAACTGCTATATATATGTCAGGTGTTAGAGATCATGGCGATGTATAGTTTTAATATAGTTTTTGTATTTATATATAATTTTAACTGTTTTGTTTATAAAAGTTTGTTGACAATTATATGTTAAATGGAAGTGAAAATTCGTATTGTTTGCCTAACTAAATGAACCTAACGTAACCTAACCTAAAGCTAACCAAAACTAACGTAACCTAACCTAAAGCTAACCAAAACTAACGTAACCTAACCTAAAGCTAACCTAAACTAACGTAACCTAACCTAAAGCTAACCTAAACTAACGTAACCTAACCTAAAGCTAACCAAAACTAACGTAACCTAACCTAAAGCTAACCAAAACTAACGTAACCTAACCTAAAGCTAACCAAAACTAACGTAACCTAATCTTATCTAACTTAATAATAATAATAATAACACTACTACTTTTTTACTACTACTACTACTACTACTACTACTACTACTACTACTACTAATAATAATAATAATAATAATCATAATCATAATAAAATAACAATAATAATAATAATAATAACAGTAGATCCGTGTGTCCATCTGTCGGCCATTTTTCTTCTTTTTTTAACCCAGTAAGCCAGGCGAAAAGTTCACAGTTGAGGTGTTGTTGCGTTAGGGATTTACCATAACCTGGCAACCACACTGGGAAAAAACAGGTTAGGTTAAATTGGGTTTGGTTAGATTAGGTTAGGTTAGGTACCACAATAGGCACTGTCTCTGGCACTACCCCACACCAATAGGCACCGTCCCTAACACTCCCCACACCCATAGGCACTATTCCTGGCACTACCTCCTACCAATAGACACTGTCCCTGGCACTACCCCACACCAATAGACACTGTCCCTGGCACTACGCCCTACCAATGGGCCACTGTCCACAGCACTACCTTCAATAGACACTGTCCTGGCTCCACTTAAACCTACATGGAGGTCTTACAGTTTAATATAACAGAGGCGTCGACCTGGGCAGTGACGACATTATTAGTAGTGACGAAACGGTCCCCTGCCAGCTTGAGGTCTCTGGCTGACTCCACCTGGTTCTTGTTGCTCGTCCACCGTGCTGCACCGGGGAGTGACGTCACGGGGCATCAGTGACGTCACGGTGTAGGAGGTGACGTCACGGAGTAGGAGATGACGTCACGGTGTAGGAGGTGACGTCATGGAGCAGGAGATGACATCACAGTGTAGGAGGTGACGTCATGGGTAGAGGATGACGTCAGCGAGATGGGATTGATGTTAGGGAAGAGAAAAATAGAAATTGTGTGGCATAAATGTTAACCATCTCTCTCTCTCTCTCTCTCTCTCTCTCTCTCTCTCTCTCTCTCTCTCTCTCTCTCTCTCTCCTCTCTC